CCTCAACAAGAAAAAGCAGTAGCTACACACCACACATAAATGAAGATGGTAGATAGCAGACACAATGCAGGAGAGATTCACCGCACCTATACGTGCGACAATATGCGATGAATGAGCAGACATACAAAGATTAAGGATCTTCTGTACGAGACAGTAGTCCTTAAATTCTTGGTTTAGGTGGCTCTCATGGCCGTCAAGAATGAGCAGCCTGTACGACCCCACCTGACGCGTCTTTGTATACTCGTCAAAGTACTTTAACCACGCGAGACCAAGCTCATTGTTCGTCCAGCCGTTCTCTGATACTGAAAGCCTCCAATCGTACGGTATATCTGCTTCTTCGTACCATGCAGAGATGTGGACGCGTCCTTTGTAGATAATAAATGGCGGGGTAGCGTATCCCACAGCGCAGATGCTCTGGATAACAGTAACCCACTCGCGATTGCCTGGCTGAACAAGAGTAGGTCTCGTACGACGTTCTGAACCTGTAACTACCTTCATTGAGCCAATTACACCCATCTGAAAGCCAGTCTCGTCAAAGTTGTGGATGTCGTCTGAAAGTACCCCATACTTCTCAATTGTCTCACGTATGAGCTTGAACCACGCGTTAATAACCTCTGGATCCTCTTGTTGCATTCTCTGACGATCCTTTGCTCGATTGAAGGCTGTTTTAAGCTCGTCCGTACGCGATACAAACCGCTCTGCCCAGCATTTACCTACAGGCTGTCCATCTCGTACGCGCAGTAGTTTCTCTGCCATATCTGCTACTTTACATAAGCGGGGGGCAAATCCTCGCGAGTCTAGATCAAGAATATATCGTACGATAGTCTGCTCTTCAGACTTAGTTAGCTTCTGGCAATTTGGCTGTGTTGTAGGTCGAAAGGTGATTCCTTGAAGCCGCCGAGAGATCTGATAATGATGGACGTTGTAGGCTGCTGCAGCGAGTCGAATGCTTTTAAACTGACCCGTACGATAGGCTTGAAGTGCAAGAATAATTCGGCCTTCTTGCTGGATTAGTATCGAGTTCTGTTGTTGAGGCATTGCCTTTCGTACGTGAAGTTCGCGATGCCAAGAAAAAGTGGCACACTCGGTGATATGGCACGCTCGGTGATAGAGCACGTTATCGGTTGAGCTTAAAGTTAA